TTTGCATTATATGTTATCAGTTCATGCAGTGCTCTGCTGTTCGAGCAACCAAATGCATGCTGGGAATCAAAAGGAATAAAAGGACTGTTGTTGCTTTTTTCCACCACTGGCACAGACAAAAATGCCTATATTCTGTCTGAAATGGATGCAACCGCAATGGTGCTTTTTACTAAGCACTGCAGTCAGAGGTGCATCACTAGCACACCAATCAAAATATCCGTTACCATCCGCACCCACTCAAATGCCAGCCAATAGGAAGTCTGCACGCCAGGTCCACGTCCTTGCCGGAGCTGATCACAGGCTCCAGGAACGCCAACAGCAAGGTAATTCATTCTAATTAGGCCGTTTGCCATTCCCGAGTCTGTCCTAACTCGGCCAGCTGCTGCCTGAGAATGCTGCTCTTCAATCAAAACCAGTGGCCGACTCTTGTCTTTGACCGCTGGGGAAACCATCAGGGCGACAGGGAAGAGCCCGACTCATGTTCGGCTATAAAACAGCACGGCGGTCGGCGGATGTTTAAATAGCCAAGCACGACTCAACCGAAGGTGCTTAACTGTTGTCTTTGGCCGTCCGGCTTGGTTCTTTTTCTAATAATGGCTAAAGTTTCATGCTTTCGAGCTGTAACAACATGGTACAAGGCAGCACCAATGAATATATTAAGGTCTTTCAAGCTTCATCAGGTGTGTGAATCTCAATTTGACAATGTATCCAAACACAAATCACATGTTGAGTAAACAGAGATATGTGTTCATAATTTGTATATTTTCTGGAGAGCTATGTACTGGACTGTACAATTTACAGTTTGTATAGCAAACACATTGGTTCTCTATTGGCATTCATATGTAAAATGTATACATATGTTGGGTAGACAATGGTATACACATTGATATAATCTAAAACATGAATATTTTAAATTCTAATATGAGATCACAAAATAAGAAGCTTATAAAAACAAAGAAAATTCTAAAGGTTTTCAAATTTATGTAACTGCCCTAATATTATATAGCACTTTTTTTTGTCCTGGTATTTTATTTTATTTTATTTTGATTATTTTTGGATATAGCCTATATGTTTATGTTCATTTTATGTTTTGTTGTTGTTGTTGTTGTTGTTATTCTGTCTTACATGCTTTAAACTGTACAGCATTGCCTTATTAAAAAAATTTACATTTTGAGTTATGAACAACTTTAGAGATATGAAATTTCAATAATCACTCAAAATACGCAATAATTCAATACGATCTCAAACCAGAACTCTCATAAGAACTCTAACTAGAACTTTTTAATAGCAAATGCATTTATATCTATAATAAAAGTCATTTTTATTGTTTTATTTATGAGTTTTAATAACTGTCAAAGCTTCACGAGTGAAATATGCTGAAATCTCAAATGTGTTTGGATACTAAACCTGCTAGAACGGATGCAATTTGGCAACAATGGCACTGATGTGCATTTTTGTAAATAAAACATTAACATAAATATTTAATTTACATCGTTTGTTGAAATCCATACGAACCTCAAAGGATTCATAAACATTTGTATGTCTCAGTATTATTTTAGTATTAGGCTAATTATAAACTCTTTAATAGAATTCAATAATATTTTGAATTAGCTTTTATTTGTATATTTTAAGTGATATGTACTTGTAAATTTTATTATTTTTTTAAACAAATTAGCTTTGCAAAACAAGTACTTATTTAATTTCAGTTAAGGCAACACGTCTAGTTTATTTCATTTAACGAAAACGATTTTTAATAGTTTTAGTTAACAATAACAACATTATGTCTCTGAATTCGTTCATAAGTAAGAGTTTATGTTGATATTTTACTTTTAAGTCTCTGTCCAAAAAGTAGCCCACTGAACGCATGTGGCTACGAATACTAATGAGATCACGTTGTAAACTCACTTTGTAGGAAGCATAAAGCACAGAGAAAGGACCTCTTCAAACTGTTAGAGCCCTCAATGAGGTCTAAATCCCGCACGGGACACTTAGGGACAGAGTTCTGACCCAATTCACAACCAAACAGGAAGAAATGGCCGAATCCTAACAAGATTTATTTTCATTTGCTTTCAAGACGCGGCGGAGGCAGGAACTAGCTTTCGCTCGCTGTATCTTTAAAGGACTTGAAGTTTTCTTGGCAGCTCAGGGAAGAACGGCAAGTTCAGCCAAAATAGACAATAAAGCAAAGGGGAGGAACATGCCAAAATGAAGGGGGCAACTAGTTCCAGGGCTTCATTTTTCCTTCATGATTCACGCTGGAAAAGAAAGCACTTCCCTGTCCTCAAATGAACTCTCGCCGCGCTCTGCGACTCTTACAAGGAAGCGCTGGGGGAGGGGACGGCCACGCGCATTTTTGCGCGCTCGCAGAACTGGGTCAACTGCAGACGAGTCAAAAGAAGCAAGAGAGGTAAACAAACCGGCGAAAACTCGCACGTACAGACACTCAGAGTCAACGAAAGAGACTCTTTTCTCCTCAGCTCTCGTGACTATCCAGACTCTCGCTGCAGCTGCGCGTGACTCCACTGTATTCAACAGATCGCGCTCTCGCGGCGGCCTCAAGTTCCCTCCAACTGTCCTGAGGTTCTTCTACTGATTATATGCTTTGTAGATGAATTAAACTGAAATGTTTTCGACACAAGGGAGATGCCAGATCGCTCACTGCGCGTGCAATTGTAAAGAAACAACACCCCATAAGAAGCTAACTTGATGCAAAAGCTTACATTTAGTCACTGCAGTTGTGGTTTTGTGACTTTGGAGCATCATTCATTTTAGTTTGTTTTTTATGCCTTCTCTAAATAAAAAAATATGTTCTTTTAAATGCATGCCAAATTAAAGGGAAAATGAAAATTCTGTCATTAATTACTCACCCTCATGTCGTTCCAAACCCCTAACACAAATTAAGATATTTTTGATGAAATCCGAGAGCTCTCTGACCCTCCCATATACAGCAACACAACTTAAATGTTCCCACGCCCAGAAACGAACAACAGATCAACAAATCTTCTCCTCCAAATCACATATTTCGCCATTGTGGAGCGTACCTCTGCATGTAAACAACGCAAGCGCATAGATGCTGCTGATATAGAAAGCGCATGCGCCTTGTTTACCTGTAGAGGAAAGCACGCACATGCGTCGTGGTACTCTCCATATTGGCGAAATACGTGATTTGGAGGAGATTTGTCGAATCAAGTCGTTATTTTTGTTATCTTTGCGCACAAAAAGTTCTCGTAGCTTCGTAAAATTGCGGCTGAACTCACATGAATTTTACTGATGTCCTTGCTTCGTTTCTGGGCGTGGGAACATTTGTTGCGTTGCTATCTAAGCAGGGTCAGAGAGCTCTCGGATTTCATCAAAAATATCTTAATTTGTGTTCCGAAGATGAACGAAGGTCTTACGGGTTTGGAAACGACATGAGGGTGAGTAATTAATGACAGAATTTTCATTTTTGGGTGAACTATCCCTTTAAGATTTAAAGCCACTTATGATTATTCGAAAATGATGATATGACAAATTCTGATTATTACAAATAACATCTACCACCAATGTACGATCACCGCATTGGACCAAAACCAGTTACCCAGAATGCTTTAGTGATGCACTAATAGGCGCTTTTACAGCAGCTATATGGCACCACATTGAAACCACAGTGACTAAGACGATATAGATGAGTCAAGCGTGCTGCCAAAACCACCAAACCACAGTCAAAACCCACAAAACTATCACTTTTGCTTGAGTCACTTTCAATAGCTCTGGCGAGCAGAAGCTGTAGTATCTGGCAGAGCACAGGAGATACTTAGATTCATCAAACTACATGAGAAAGCACATTCCACATGCAGTTAAAACCATACTGTACAAGTTGCATAAATCATTGTCATTTTTATGTTATAAAGTGGTGCTACACCAATTACATTTCTTTAGTGTGCAGTTATTAGAATATAGAATAATCGTAGAAGAATGAAATGTGACCACTGCACTTATGACAATGTGACATGATTTTGACGCAATCAAATATTAGTAACTTTTTGAGTTATTATAATTAAAAGTGCGTATTGAGCATTAAATGCTACTTTTTCCTTGTAAAGAACATTCTGTGAATCTTCAATAAAAGGACAGTTAGGTGATTATTACTCATATTAAATACCAGTCTGTACAATATCTGCACAAAATGTGATCATTTTGAACAGACTGAAGTTATTTTACAGATGACAAGTTGCGTTTTAGAAAATTAGACTCAACAGTGTTCTTGTTACTACACAAATACTGAGTAAAAATTATAAACGACATATAAATGAAATTATTTTGCCATTCTGTAATGTAAAGTTATCTGCTGACAGTCTGTTTAAGGGTTCTGCTCTTCTAAAACACACAGACTGCATTACCAAACTACTATTTACAACATGCACTGTTACGGTTATTTTAATTTATTTTATTCACAGTTTATGCATCACACGGACACTATAAAATTTACACAGGCCTATGGTAAATATAGTATTGTCAAACAGCCACAAAAAGCAATCAGTCAGTAGAGTACTGGTGTAAAAATTGCAGTTTGATAAGTTGGCTCAATTAAAAATAACTGGTGGCATTATAGATTTACTTTAGACCTTTATAATGTTTACATAAAAATGTGTATTTCCTATTGAAGCTGATTATGGCATATTTACACTTGTATGTTAAAATAGGTTTCCAATCTAAAGCCGTAAGGCTACTGGTGTGTATTTTCATTTGATACATAGTCAAAAAATCCTATAAAACTGTCTAAAGGTATCATAATATGGAAAAATCCTAACGGCATCAAATTTGGAGATACAAGTTTGTAAAATCATTAAAAAATTTGCTGATGTTCCACACTGCCCTTTTATTTTATGAGGACCACTGTATTCTCATTGTGAACTACTGAATGTTCTAAAAAATTGCTGAATGGTTCTAAATGATCAGAATACCAGAAAGAATCGCACAGAATTTATAATGCAGTATTAAACTATAACAGGTACACTCACCTTAAAAACAGCAGGAGGTCATTTCAGAGACTTGCAGTACTTCTGTTCAGTGTTTGAGATCCGTCTGGAATCTCTGAACCAGTTCCCTCAGCGTTCCAGTAAATTTAAGGGCGTCCTGGTGAAGGATTATTGTGCTGTGGGACAAAGAGAGAGCCGAACCCCACGGTAAACTCCGTGAACTCATTTGATCGCATCTGTGTTGTGTATCCTCGCGCGTCGTGCCGCTTCTTGGATTACGCTCGGTTACGCACTAGACGCTCCGCTTTCCACCATTTTATTTACACATGTAAAGAGGGAAAGCAACTTGAGAAGTGTCAAAATCACCGACTGGAATTTCGGAATGTAAATTAAGTTTGTATGCGGAACGATATAACAGCGATTTTGGAACGAGGGACGCTTGGATGTGGACTTTCGCGTCTGTTTGTTCCATCAACGCCCATTTCCACATGCCTGCTGAGGGAAAATCACCGTGTAAAACATGTTTAAGCTTTATTTCGCTCAGCATGTGTATCAGTTGAGAGGGAATTTGTATTTTGCAGCTGGAAGTGAGTATAAAGTACTTCATAAAAAGTTTGAGCTCACAGATGATTTCAAACTCACCTGCTTCTCTCCGACTAAAACCTCGACAATGATTACCGCAGTGAATATTGGGTAACAAACACTTCAATAATAACATTGATTTGGAAACGTTAATTGAAGCTTTACAGATCAAAAGTCATGTAGATGCAAATATATGTATGACGGTATATAAGCATGTTGAAGTTTAATGGCATTTCTAATTCTGTGAAAATACATGAGCAAAGTAAATTATCCAGTGCTATATATATATATATATATATTTATTTATTTATTTTTATTTGAAACGCATGTATTTACTTTTTTAAAAACTGACATGCGTTACAGGTTTATTTTTTGTTTTGTATGAATCTATGAATGAATTCTAGAGCAGTAGTGTAGGTGTGTATATATAATGTATTAAAAATATTGATATAATTTATTAAATTATAAGTGTGTGTGTGTGTATATAT